CACCTTGAATTGGCAGCATCCGCCGACTCTCCGCACGGGTCTCATCACCTCTTCAGTATGGTTTTCAGGTAGTCTGATGTTGGTACAACTCGATCTTTGCCTGCACTGGCGTATAGTGCGCCTTATACTTTGGACCACCACGTCATCAGTTGAATCGTCCGGCACGATATTCGGGCTGTTTTCCATTCGGGTTGTTCGTGAAGTCTCCATTCGGGACACACTCCCTCAATTCAGGATTTCCAGCTCCAGGGACCCCGGCCTCCATATCTCCTCACGTAAGTCCCTCAATCTCTACTGATCCACCCGAAAGTATCGGTCATCTTTTCGGGTTCCTCCACGCTTCGCCTTCCTGGAACAACGGTGCACGGTCACTCGGCTCGGGTGACCGGAAACTGGGATTTACGTTCACGGAGCATTCTCCGTTCACCACCCATGGAATGTCATCACGTATCAGTTCCTTATTCTCAGCTCCGGCTCTCAAACCAGGGCAGCTGCGGGTGCCACCTGACTTTCAGGTTGCATCGTCACATGAGCATGTCAGTGGCGTGGCAGTATTACCATTCCCGGAAAAGATCCGGGGAGACCCCGCTTGATTATTTCTATCGATTGAACGTGGATGTTCTACGAGTTAAACTCACGATCAAAACGGAAACCCAAAAGCGCGCCGGGGACACGTCGACCAATACATCGAAACGTGATCCCGAGGTGGCAGACCGCCTAACGCTATTACAATTGGCCGACCTCGACGAACGTGAGGAAGTGCTGCGTGCGCGGGTACGAGCCAAGAGTAGGCAACGCAGATTCGCGTTCGAGTCAAAATTTCGACAGAAAGTCCCATCCAGCGCTCCAACTGCGCCAGCCCGTGCCATGGTACGTGCAATCCAAGCGCAAGATCCGAGCTCCGAGTCAGAAGGGGTCTCAGGATCTGACAGATCCGACTCGGAAAGCGAACGACGAGCTGCGAAGAATCTTCCTTGCCGGAGAAGAAGATAATTTGATCGGCACTGGGGGCGTCGCGCAGAACCCGGATCCAGGACGATCCCGAACAAACGCGCCAGAGGGAGGCCGGATCCCCGAACGTCGCACCCCGGGAGACAGAGATCACGAAGACCGAGACCGCTGTTCGCATTGTGGTCCAGGGACCACACCGATCTAAACTGTTGGAAACGTCTGACATGTGAAAAGTGTGGGAAAAGATGTCACCCTACGGATCGCTGTCTGTACGTGTGTCGTGGATGTGGGGATGCTCACGGGGCAGGAGAATCCCCCAGGGAAGAATTCTACAACCAGATTCAAAAATGGTATGATCCGACTCGACACGCCGGGCTGTTCCCCGAACAAGTTGAGAAGATGATAAACTAGGACGCTCGTCGAGGTGGAATCCGGTACGAGCCGAGCGTTCTAGATATTGCATCTACGCCTACGTGAACAAGGCGACGACAGATCGAGGTAGGAAGGAGTCGGGTCTACGCGGTAATACATGTAATTTGTATTCGTACACCGCCAAGATCGCGAACCTCCCCCATATCAGTGAATTCAGTCGATCTAACGCAGAAGTGACCTTAGATCTCAAAAGAGGAGAGTCCTGGGGATATTGGAAACATCATGCACCGGGAAAATGGTTCCGACAAGCCAAGATCTCGGGCAGGATCAATCAAGGGAGGGCGATCCTGCTCCTCGATACTGGAGCTGAGCTATCAATCTTGGATACCACCTTTGCTCGTAAGGTGGGATGCAATTTTGACACTAGTCAGAGACAGGAATGTGTGGGAATTGGTGATAACGTATATACTACAGAAGCAAGAACCAAGATCAAGATCACCCTGGCGGGATATATGGTGTAATTGTTTGACATCTGGATCGGAGATCTCTCAGGACAGAACGCGATCCTGGGCATGGATTTTATGGTCCCCCTCGCCGACGGATCGGTGCGACTACCTGACGAAGTTGGAACACCGCTTAATTGTCGTAAGCGATTGTATGGCGAAGAGGTGAGATCAGTGATTCTCGAACGATCTCTACGAATCCCGGTTGGCCGGTCGGAAGAAACAGCGGCGAGGATAAAATTGTCTTCCACGGAGAAACTGTGGGTGACCAGAGGAAACGATGGGTACCGACCGTGACGGAAGGCCCAGGTCGCATCCGCTACCTGGTGATCTCGAACATCGGAGATAGGATCCTACGACTAGATCACCGCCTGGACGTCGGCATGATACTCAATCAGGACAAAGTATCCCGATCCCTAGGGTTCGTGTCCGTCGGGTCACGTCGCTGCCGGGAATGGCAGAAGCTGGCATTGGAATCGACGGTAGATACTAGATCAGGGCCCCCTGAACTCATGGAGAGCCCCGTGGAGCCGACAGTGCAACGACCATCGTATCCCACACCACGATCAATACTTCGCCGGGCGGGATCTGCTGCTATTGACAGAGATCGAACGTGGGTATCGACCCTAGAATCTTGATCGAGGGCGCGAATTGCCGACGCAAACCAGATCGAGGCTGAATTTCTAGATCCAGAAAAGGGAAGTCCATCTACGCCAACGACTAGCCCCGATGCCGATCGATACCTGAGCGGCGATGCTGATGGCGCCGGAATAAGTGAGAGCATGCCGGATCAGGCTACGATCGGACGGATACCATAGATATAAAGCCGAAAACGCGAAAACCCAAACTGTCAAACCCGGATCAAACTCGAATCCGGAGAAGCCTTCGACGTAAAATCCCGGATCCACCCGACGGAGGGCGTCGAACCACGAGATCCGTCGGCGGAAGGAGCAGCAGCAACCACCCCACAGGATGCCGATGATGATGATGAGATATACTGTCACGAGAGTGGTGATCTTTCAACTGAAGATCTCGAGGGGAACCTCGCTGTCCTCCCCGAAATTCCGATCTCGACGACCCCGAAGGTCAGCATTGAGGATCTGCAGGTGGGAGACGCTGGATCGGCCACACCCGAGGAGATCGAGAAGCTTCGACAGATCATTTGGAAGAAACAACACCTGCTGATCGGCAAAGGGAACGCCCTACCTCCGGTGGCGAAGGGCATCGTGTGTGACATCGATGTCGGGAATGCGAAACCGATCGCACTATGAACCCGGAAAGGACCCACCCGATTTCGAGAAAACATCGCAGACCTGATAAAGGGCCTCCTGGCAGCCGAGATCATCCGACCCTCGACATCGCCATGGGCCTCAGCGATCGTTGTCCGCAAGAGTAATGGTGTGGATATGAGGTTGTGCGTCGACTACAAGCTGGTAAACAACCTCTCGAGGCTGATGGTATTCCCATTGCCTCTGATCAGTGATCTGTTAGAGGTCCTTGATAAGGCGTTATGGTATTGCTCACTGGATATGGTCAGTGGCTTCCGTGTCGTGTCCATGACGGATCGGGCTCGCGAGATCTCAGCATTTATCACCCCGTTTGGATTATTCAAATGGAGTCGCATGCATTTCGGCCTGAAAAATGCCACGGAGATTTATAAACGCCTCGTAGACAACACGATGTATGGATTCCTGAAAATCTCGCGATCAGGCGATGCCGGGACTACAACGGACGTGTTCCAGACAGGGATCGCAGACGATCCTGATCTCGGGTCTGTGTTGGGACGAAGATCATATATTGACGACATCATCATCGCCGCAGAATCGTGGGATCAAATGTGCCAAAAGATGGAAGATCTGTTGGAGGCTTGTGATAAGTGTAATTTATCGATCGGTGTGGCGAAGGGCATCTGGGGTATGGATAAGGCAAGATATCGGGGCACCGATTGTCGATCGAAGGTCTAGAGGCAATCCCAAAGATCTGAAACCCCTGACCGATCTGCCATTCTCCGGGTCACTTCGATCCATGCAGTAGTTTGAAATACTACAGCCGATTCATTGAAGACTACGCTATCTATGCTTCGGTGGTATATGAAGTGCACGAGGTGGAGTTCGCAGAACTGGAGAAACGATCGGATCTGAGGAAGATCATGTTCAGAACGACCCGATTGCACAAGTTTACGTCCCACCGGAACTGCAGCTGGTGGAACCATTGAATAAGAGGTGGAACAGGGCGCAGAAGGCCTTCACCGCCCTGAAAACCAAGATCGTGACGGATCCAATTGTCCGCCACTTCAACGAGACGAGAACGCCGGTAGTTATTGTATATGGCAGTGATTGGGCGAAATGTGCTTCATTGCGCAAGAACACGACGGGATCTGTCATCCGGTTGCATTCCCCAGCCGCACCCTGAAGACGAATGAGTTGAATTACAATGTGACCGAAAAGGAAGTACTGGCACTACTGAGGATTCTGGATCTCTACTACAATTTATTGGTGGGAGGCGAGACCCGGGTCCTAACGAGGAATTCCACATTAGCCTGGCTGTTCAAGTCGAAAGGATTACAGGGTCGCATATGGCAGTGGTCAGCTCTCCTGGCCCCGTGGACGCTCGAGATTGCTAAGTGCACGACAGGCGAGGACGAGATACTGGGGGCGATCGCTGACAGCATCACGCCGAGGGTGAAGATGGACGACGCTCTGCCCGATATCGCTCTTTAGAAGGAAGCTAAACGCCGGCCCCAAACGCCGATACCCACCGTAGATCCGGAAGAGGAGTTATGGGTGATCAGCTTTGATGGATCGGCTCGAGTGAAGCGTGGCGGAGACACGTTCAGCGCGATTGTGTGGAGTCTGCCCGAATGGGAGGTGGTCAAAGCCAGATCGGGCTATCTCGAGAGCTTCATCGTGAACAAACGGAATACAACGGTCTGATCCTGGGACTCGACACGCTAGAGGACCTAGCCCGCAAGCGCCTAGTGATCGGTGGTGATTCCAACTTATTGATTCGAGTGTTCGGGGCGAGATCGATTGCGAAGCACCCGGGCTCGCACTATTGAAGCGGAAGGCCCTCGATCGCCTGAGGAAATGGAGTGATCATGAATTAATGCATGTGAAGAGATACTGGAATGGGGCCAGGGCGCTCAAGATGTACGTTCGCGATCTGGATCAGAAGGATTGGGATGAGTATGCTGAGCGACTTACCTTCGCGATCAACTCGGCCCACGATCGGATCCGAGGGGGTACCCCTCATTATCTGGTACATGGATGGGGTCTGAGATCGACGCTGGAGGCTACACTGCCAGTCGAATGTACCAGATGGCGCGATCGAGACACGCGACTGTGACGTTATCGAGTCCAACGGCATTATCAACAGCCCCGGGAGCAAATCAATGCCAGATTGAGGGAAGCTATTGCAGATCGGACCAGCCGACAGATCGAGGCTGGATCTCGCGTTTGGTTATACCTAGACCGGGTAAAGGAAGGATACGCGCGGAAACTAGCTCACCTGTGGCATGGGCCATTCCGGGTGGCCGAAAAGGTCAACGAATTCAGCATCAAGCTCGAGATCGCGGGTACTGAGTACCAGATCTTCCCAGTAGTTCACGTGCCGCAGCTGAAATTGGTCAAGGACTTTCCGGATCGGACGTGAGTGGAGCTCACGGTGGACGAATCGGATCGCCTCGACTTCGATGAGATCCTGCTTCCGGAGGACAGCTAGGTCCCCGATCTCGGAGCCGACGAGTACGCAGTCAAACGGATCTCGGATGTGCGGAGTGGGAAGAAGACGCGATTCGGACGGATCTACCGAGAATTTCTGGTGCATTGGGTAGGATATGACGACCGACCTGGGTCGACGAAGCCGACCTCACCAGCGGAGCAATACGGATGCCTTTTTGCGAGAACGAGCGAGTCGTAACCGTTTCAACGTGATGCCATCGCATGATGAGACGGAAAGGGGACGGGGTGAGATTGTCGGATAGTCTCGACTCCGAGGAAGCGCAAGTCGGATAAGACTGAGATCAGAAGTTCATGTTGTGTATGTGCATATAGAAATGCCAACCTTTGCAAGAGATCAAGGAAGGCGAGGTGGGTCTGAACAGAGATCACTTAGGGGGAGCGACGAAAAGAGCAAACAAGTAGGAGATATGGGTGAGATTGATGAATTACGGGCCCTACAGGAAGAAAGAAATCTTGATCGCGGGAGGACGAGTAGGGATCACGACGGTTCTCCCCGAAGTGAAGTCGGATCCACGGATCAAGGGGTTGCTGGGGGGTTGAATTTGTTCGCAAGACGAGGAATCTCCAGCGATAGATGAACAGACCTGTATCACTGTAATGGTTCGGCCAGGGATCGGTTTGATCGTACTCGAACAGGGCCGTGATCGAGTCGGTCGGCTCCGGGATATTCGCGGTCGGCCGCGCGAGATTGGCCGCCCTGGAGACCGATCCGGGATACCAGCGTACTCGATGTTGGGGCGTCGGCAGGTGGAGGAAATAAAGATTCAGCAGGAGGTCAATATTGGCCCACTGGCTCCTCATCATCGGGAGACACGCTCCCAACGGTTTCCGCCAGCGATCTACAACGCGGATGCGCCGCTGACGTCGATCCCGGTGGTAGACGAAGAGATCGGGGTCCGAGGCGAGCATCGCTTTCGTGATATCGAGGTAATGGGTCAATTCCCAATACGCTATCAAGTGATCTTCCACCAGGGCTGCATACGACACGGCGGTCCGCCATAGAAGGACCAGTGCAAGTTGTGGTCGAATGTCCGCGGGGTGGGGGGATTCCGTCGAAGTACGAGCCATGGCGCCGTAGCCATCAGAGCCAACTCGTTGGCACCGGTAATCAGCTAGGAACGGTAGCCGGTCCTGGGTATAGGATCCCGAACAAAGGGCGTCCGAGCAGGAAACAGGAAGTCGGCCGGGATCGGCAACCTCTTGGTCAAAGTAGACTGAATCAGGGCGATGATCGGAATGGACCCCACGATAGCGGGATCCCTCCGGATGATTTCGGCTGCCGTGAATAGCTTGACCGTGGAATGGCGGGGGAACACTCGCCTCGGCAGGAATCAATGGCGGATTCAGCTGGAGAGGTGACTCACCACCGGGTGACCCACCACCTGAACTTCAGCCGGGAGATACGTGAGGTGAAGGAGAAGGAGGCGAATATCTATTCTCTGAGGAAGGGGGATTGTCATCGTCAGGTCTGCCCTCACCGCCGCCTGGGATCTCGTGCTTATCTTCGAGATTCTCAACCTCGGGACCTCCTCGGGTTATCTTAGTCGGGAGGCGGAGAAATAGGCCGATCGGTGCGAGACATCTCGAGAGGCGGTAATTGGAGAGGGGAACTGGGCGGACTGCGATCACGTTTCGTCATAAGGGCCGCTTGACTCCCTCGGATCCGGCTAGCGAGGTGCGTGAGGAGCAGATCGGCCTCGGTCAGATCCCTTCGGCCAGATCTCGCAATTCGCAGAGTTGGTCGTGGGTAAGCTGGAGATCCGCCATCCTGCCCTCCCATCCGTGAAGCTCCAGGCGAACCACCTAGAGGTCATCGTCCAGCTGGGCGCCTCGGGCAGCATCGAAGAGGAGGTCCAAGCGGACCTGACCGCGTTCGGCAATCGCCTGATCACGATGCTCGAGGGCCCTGTCGCGATCGGCAAGAGCCAGATCCCGATCCTCAGTGACCTGGATGATCGGAGGTAACCTGCGGCAGGGTTGCGCGGGCGAGTGCAAGATCTGCCAACGCGCGATCCCGGTCGGCCTGGGCCAGACGGGTAGAACCTCCAAGGGATGATCTCCCTCCGCGATCTGGTTGTGGATGGGCGAGGCAGGACGAGATCCGGTTATAGCTGGCGAGAGTGGTGGCGGATTCGGATCTCACGTCGTCGGTCTCACGCTCCAAACCGCGGACCTGCTCCTGGAGGTCCCGGATCTCGTCGTCGACCTGAGCAGCTTCCTGGCGCAGACGATCGGGACCTGCCTCGGCATGATGAAGATCTTCACGGGCGGAAATCGCATGACGCTCGAAGTCGTTACGCTCGGTTCGAAGTTGGAGATCTTGGGTGCGGAGGCCTTCAGGATCGGCATCGTCGTCGTGGGCGAGGTTTGAGATATCGGCCTCTAGCTGGGTGATCTCGTCTCGCTAGCCGTGCTGGAAAGCTTCCATGTCCCGGATATCGGATCTCAGCTGGCGGATATGCAGATCGAGATGATTTCGATCCCGGACGAGACGATCCTGCACGAGGTTGCTCAGGCGAAGCTCGCCCTCCAAGGTGACCAACCGCCGACCCTAATCGGAGGTGTGGGGGCGAGGGCGACGCGAGATATTGGACTGTCGCGACCGGTTACTCCCTGTTGACTACGGTGAGTCGGGAGGATTTGGAATTATGGGACTCCCGGATTCGCTGCCCGCCTGACTCATGGGGATGGCTGGCTGAAGGCTGGAGAGGAGTACGCCCGAGACGGCAAATTGTGGAATGAGACCTGAAGTGAACCAGGACGGTCCAACTTGCAGGCTGAGGGCGGATGTGGTGAAGCGCGAGCAAGATCTCGCGAGAAAGGCAACCTCGGCTGCCAGATCGCGAGATAGAGACGGACCAGGCGACAGGAATCCCACGCCAAGCCAAGACATCAAGTCACCTCCCCCAGATCTAGCGTGCGACAACGCCGGTGAATGATGTTGACTTCGGATGACCCAAAATAGACCCTTGGAATGATGGATGGCGACATACACATACCGTGTCGCGCGAATGCAAGGTCAAGGAGAATTTGTGGCCAGGAGTCGCTATCGACCAGCGATCCAGGACTGTAGCGGGTCAGCAGACAGCGATCGAAGGAGGATGGCAGCATTGGAGTCACGCCTATCACAGACCGTGATACGCGAGGTGAAGGCGATTCCAGGTCAAGGCAAGATGGTGATCCAGGGTCATGAGAAGGTGGCGGGACGGGATCGCCGAGTGACAGCAATCGTGCACCCCGAGGTGAGCAGCAATGATGAAGATCACCGCGCGCCGGCGATCAGGAGATGGCTCGAGATCACCGATCGGGATCACAGATCGAGATCGATAGATCCCAGGATGAGGTAGGTATCCAGATGTCAGGTGATCGTAGGAAAGCAGCTGAGAATGGGTTACTGGATATAGGGATAAACGTAAACAGACTCGAATTTGCTCTAAGCTGCACAAGATTCTGCTCTCGCCCTGAATCGGGGATTATATTGGTCCCACAAGCGCGCAGACGGTAAGGAGTTTGAATCTAGCGTAGCGGTTAAGCCTGGATAATACATTGGATAGCTTGGCCCTACCTAGTGACTTGTCCTCAAGTGTTTACAGTTGATTAGAAGGTATTGATTGCTTGACCTGAAGATCGCATCGGATCTCAACCCAACAAGTTCCCGCTATTGGAAGCGGCAAGCATACACAAGGAAGGAGCAAGATCTCCGGCATTGGACCTCCCAAAGACCTGGAACGACAACCAGGCAGCTCGATCACGGCACAAGAACTAGCCTGCGATTGAGGTCGACCTACGCGAGGTAGAGCGAAGAAGTTCCGCGCTATATCAAGCCCCTGTGTCTTCACCTTTACAGATATACATCGAACGAGGCAACCAGGAGAGCGTAATCAGCCCGCTGCCGGGTATACAAGTTTAGCAAGAACACAACCAGATCAGGGATCATCAGAAGACCACCTTTGTTAGTCGGTGTCCGGGCACCAGCGGTATCGGGAACCGCGTCAACTAGATTTTCACGGATTCCGCTTCGCTACAGAATCGTCAGAAAAAAGCCGCATTTTGGATCCAGTAAATACCGGCAGACGACCACCAATACGGTCCCATCCGCAGCAGCGAAACAAGTTCGTGCAATTCAGATCCAGGCTGATGACTCTGGATCTGACAGTGGATCTGACGAATCGGGTGGATCTGACTCCCACATTGACAGTCATCGCAGGATATTTCTTGCAACGAACGAAGATGTGACCCCGAAGGTGGAGAAGAGACTGCGAATCTCGAGCCACGACTTCCGGACAGCGATTATTGCCATTAAAATCACGACTGGAAG